AACTGTCAATCTTTATTACAATTAACAAATTCAAAAGTAGTAGTAGAATTCAAACATGAAGTAGAAGTAGGCACAATTTTATTCTTTTCAAATTCTAGAGCAAAGTGTCTTCCCAGTCTATACCCCTTCCCCTTGACCTCCCCAATTTGTCGGTCCTATATCAAACAACCATCAGAAGTAAATGAGACATTATTACCTTCCTCTACAAGTTGGCCAACAGAAATTAAATTGGTGGTAAGATTAGGTACAAATAGGGTTTTGGACAAATGAAATGAAGATGACTTAGAAGTAGATAAATATAAATCATCACATCCAAGTATATCTAATTTCTCACCATTAGTAGTAACAATGTGTTTATTGGGGAGATGGGGTTTAGGACACTGATCAAGAGTGGCCCCTGTCATATGGTTAGAGGCTCCTGAGTCAATGTACCATAGATGGTTCGGTGAGTGACAGTAGGTAGGAGACTTACTAGGCAGGCCCATAGCAGAGAAGGCTGAAGAGATAAAAGAGGACATGAGTTGTCGAATTCGTTCTTCAGACATGCTACCGGAGGTGTCATTTTACCCAGTCACAGAAGTAATGAAGGATGTTGCATCTAATCCATCTACACCCGTCTGATAAGCCTTGTATCTTCCTTTCTTCTAATTTGATCCACTGTTTTTCTGAGGCCGAGTGGGGCATTCAATAATAATATGGCCAACCTGCTTATAGTAGGTGCATGTATTCTTTTTCTTGCAGTGAGAAACAACATGCCAGAACTCCTTACATTCATAGTACTGTATTTTAGAAAAGTCCTTCCCTGTCGGTTTTGTTGCTAGAAAGACAGTATCAATGTTGGACTCCTTTCTTCCATCCAGAGTAGTCTGTGTGGCAAATCTGATTTCAGTCCTCAGAATTTCCCCAAGAATAGTATCCAAGTCAGGAAGTGGTCCTCGACTCAGGATATTAGATCTAACAACTTCGAATTCAGGTCTGAGATGCATTAGGAAGTGCATAATCTTTCTTCTATCAAAGTGTTCCTTCATATACTTCACACAACATTCTGAAGGATCATTCCCCATGTGAACAAGCTCATATTCGGTCCAAAGGTTAATAAACCCAACATTAGTACTCTTGGACCTTTCATTCTCCTTGATAATAGGAGAAGATGTCAACCTCTATCTGGTACTATCTTGAGGTGTTTGATTGCTGATATACTCTCTCAAGATACTCATACATCTCATAGGCAGTCTTGTATCTTCTCATAGGAATTGTAATGTCAGTTTCAACGGATCCTAAGATCCATGATGCAATTTTTGCATTATCAATTCTCCACTGATTAAGACCCTTGATGTCCAAATCATTAGGTTTAACTACTGATCCATCCAAATATCGCCAGAGACCTTTCGCCTCCACATGAAATTGGAAATTGAATTTCCAAAGTGCATAGTTCGTACCATTAAACTTGATGGGGAGAATTTCCATTCTTTTTGATGCCATTGAATCACAAGAGCAAGAAAAACCACAGAGAGAAATATTCAAAACAGTAGAATAAAGAAGTACCTTTCAGTCAATGTCCAGAAAAGGAAACTGTAAGGGTCTACCGAACTCTGAAGTGGCTCAAAACCCTTCTAGATCCAATCCGATTCAAACCAAACCTATTGGAAACAGTAGATCTGCTTGGCGACACTAGATCTAAAGTTTCAGCCTGATCTGATGCTTCTAGAGGGAGATCCAATCCAAAAGAGAAATCTGGTGGCGCAGCACCAAGAACAGAGTCTGTTGAGTTCTGATTGAATTCAACTTCAGAAATAGGATTCAAGAACACTCAAGAGCCTCCCAAATACTGTTAGGGAGTACTCTAGATAACAGATAATAAAGAGATGAGGAAGTAGTCACTTGCAAATCAGATCGTGACTTGCTTTGATACCATGTCAGAGTCAGATCGAAAAACTGAGAAAGAGAGAGAGAGAGAGACAACACAGCCGAATGGTGGGTGTGACACTTTGTGCCAGTCGACACCCTAAAAGAAAATATTTATATTAAGTTGTAAAAGGACAGATCTGCCCTTAATGTACGGGAGAGAGATAATACAAAGAAAGATATACAGAAAAGAAAAGTAAAAGTACAAAAATAGCCCTACGGCTAGATTTCACTGTCTCTACTTGCCTAAGCCACTTGGCTATCCATTATCAAATCTCCAACTGATAAAAAAACTACAACAAAAGAACACTACTATACTCCAACTTAAAACTGCACAACAGTTTTGCCCGATTACTTAGCTTCACCTGTGGCTGGAACATGAACCTCTTATCATATTAACTTCATTTGTTTTCTATACCTTCTTAATGGAACTGACCCGAAAGAAGCCCCCTTTCAATCGGGTAAAAACTTTATAAGATCATCAGAAAATTATAGAATCAACTCAACTTTCTAGAAATGTGCTATGGATTTGTTGGTGTGAAAATTTTAATAAATTCTCATGCAACATAATTCACTCAATCAAGTGATTGAGTTTCTATTATTTTTGGTAAGGTCCATTCAGGGAATCATATGGATTGTTCCTCTTAATTACATCTCCACAAGAAAGTAAAGAACACCTTTTGATTATGGCTTGGAGAAATGAATGCATAGAACAAAAGAAAAGAACAATAAGGTACTTAAAAAGAACTTTTCATTTGTGTTTCTTTTACATCAAGTGTACAAGAATGAGAGGAGAGAAAAAGAAAATACAATTGAGAAACTATACAACAGTACATTTCTCTCTTTTCTTTTTGATACAAAGAAAATTTCCTTCTCATTCCTTTCTTCACAATAAGCTATAGTCAATCAGATGAAATTCCTACTGTAGACAGCCTTAATCCTTGGATTTTTTCATACAAAAAAGAACTGTAGTCAATCAAACTGAAAATTTGATTGTAGATGTTTTTTATTCCTCTATTCTTCATTTTCATTTGAAGGGATGCGTAATCAGCCCTTGAGAATTAGACTGTAGATGGTTTAGTCCCTAACTTTGTCTTGAAAGAGGGACCATAATCAACCAAGTAGAGGCAACTGGTTGTAGATTGTTTATTTCACGGAGAGGACTTTCCTTTTTCTTGAAAGAAGGATGCGTAGCAGAAGACATATATAGGAAGTATTCACGGAGAGGACTTTCCTTTTTCTACCTGTATTAATGAGACTTTTCCTTCCTTGCCTTCCCTTGAGCACTTACCTTTTCTTCTATCTTTATCTTAGCTTTTCTTTTAAGAATCTCTTGAGATAATTTTCCCCGAAGAGTGTGTATAGCTTCCCCTTAAGGAGCTTAAATAAGGAATGGGGTAGTTATGTAACTCCATTCATTTTTTATAGTTTTGATAATTTGGCTAGCAGACTAGTCAACCCACTTATTTGGGTTATTAAATTATTAAATATTATTTGGATATTGAATAAAAAATGCCTTCAACAGGATTAAACATCACAGATTGCATATACATATTTACTTCCATTTATTCATACCAAACAGAAAAGCAAATTTGTTTTTCCTTTTAGAATTTTCCACTGTACAATTGATAAAAAATATTCAGGATTTCTTCAGATCATGTTGAATCAAGTAGGAAAATTACCCTAAATTCATCCCTTACCAAAACCTATAATTTCTCAGACTGGAATGATGGTCTGCTGTACAACTGATGATGCTATCCATACAACTATTGATGTCAGCAATGATCCAAGTGGTGTGTCAATACTTACAGGTTCTGTCTTTCTCTGGTACCAACTTGCAAATGTTATGAAATGTGTAGAAGTAGAAGAAGAGAAATGAATGGAGAAGGAAGAAAAGGAGAAGAAAGAAAAAATGAATTTAGAAGAGAGAAATCATGGGGTGAATCTCCCACTTCATTGTCTTATATATGGACTGAACTAGAATAACTAAAGAGCTAGTAATACCATAGATTATAAAACTTGATTACAACCAATAATCCGTAATGCATCATACCACTGTAAACATTTTCATATCTTTACTTGCAAAAGATTAAGGTAGTTTTTGTATCTTCACTACTATTGAAGATAAGGAAGCACACATGTGGTGAGAGGCACCAAGACTTCCTCCTACATTAGAGTACATCTCACACATGTTGATGATCTCTAAAGCAGCTTGCTAACAAATAACTGTATTTTTGAAAAGGGTATAAACTGAAGAGTGAAGAGCTTTGACCAAAAAATTTTTTGGGCGAATAAGTTAGCTCGTCAAACAAAGGCACATGACAAAAGACCAAGAGAATTTAAACCCATATTTTTTGGTTCCAAACATCATAGTAAGGAGAACCTCATTGAGAAAGTTCAAAATAATTATCACCTCCTTGCATTCATGACCCCTAAGTCCTCTTAAGAAACCAAAATCCCAAGATAGTCCTCATTGAGAGGTCACCCTGCTACATCACAACTAAGTACGCACAGTCCTTCAGCTCACCATATTCCTGGTTAGTTCCAATAAAATAGCACTTTCGGGGAATAATCTTTAAAATGCCATATTCCTGGATGTCCTCCACACTACAAAGGTGCTTTCTCACTTACATACGTCACACAACTGATATATGATTACTTCTTATTCTTGTTTAAGTAGCTATATATATTAGTATTACTTAATATTTGAACATAATTTCATGTTTGTTCCTATAGATTTCATGTGTTTACTACAGGATTTGGACTTTCTAAAGTGTGTACTTAGTATTGAGTAGGATTTAGGCATATTCCATGTTTCTTTCTATATGTGCTTCCATTAGTTTCCTTTATTTCTTAAGGTCACTTAAATACTCATTGGACGAATAATAAAACTGCCTGACATTATTGAATTCTTCTTCTAGGTATAATATTTTTTCTTTTGTGTTTTATTTTAGTTATGTACTTCATAGATTTCATCGATAAATCTTTTCTTAATGTATTGCTTTGGATTTTCTTGTGTTCTTGTAAAATTCTTCTTCTTAATGGAAAAATGGTTAGTGCAAGAAACAAATTTGAATTTAGTTGCACTCATGCAGTACGTGGACAAAGTGCTAGTCGTCAAAGAAGCCACTGAGCCTGGAAATCCTCCAATAGCAACCCGCATTTGGGAAGCAGTTAAGACTAATAATTTACAATCAGTATATCGTATGATTGTTGTCTCTGATGTGAATATCAATACAATCTATGATGAGGTGGATGGTGCTGATCTTTGTCACCTCATTAGTAAAGCAGAATCACAGAATGATTGTGAATCTCTAGAGGAGATGAGTCGTGATCCAGCTGTATGTCAAAGAATTAAAGATTCACATGGACCAGAAAACTGTCTACAGGGCTGTTCACTATTGCATTTGGCTTGTCATGTTGGGAATCCTGTTATGCTTGAGTTGTTACTTCAGTTTGGTGCTGACATAAATTTGCGGGACTTCCATGGGAGAACTCCTTTGCACCATTGCATTTCTAAAGGATACAATTCAATTGCAAAATATATACTCAGAAGGTAATATGCATTTCTGTTTGAAACTTCTAAAACTATGGCCTTCATGCTGTTCATTTTGTATATCGCATGTAATATTGATGACGCTGTACTCTAGGGAGCTTTATATCTTCACAAGGATTCAACCTTTTCATAATATAAATGGGTCTGGAATCAATGGTCAGTTATTTATATCAAATGTTGATGTGTTTGTTAATCAGGGGGGCACGGCCATCAATTGAAGATGGTGGTGGACAAAGTGCATTGGAAAGAGCAATGGAAATAGGAGCAATAACTGATGAGGAGCTCTTTATTTTGCTCACTGGTAACGAGTGAAATGGTCCTATTCTACCAAATGTGTAAGTATATCCAGAAGCTCCGGTCCTGCTACCTTTTCTGCTATTGCAGCTAAAAAATATCATTTCATATTTACATGGGCAAAATCCAGGAAATTTCCTGTCTGTGCACTTTTATATTGATTTGCTTCTTATTTTAGTTATGTTTTTATTTCATTTATATTAGAAATTTTAAAAATGATATTATTGCATAAGATAAGCTATTAGGCATGCAAGGTTATTAGATAAGTTAAATTTTATTTTTTGTCAGAACTTTTGAACTAACGCTTTAATTTTATTTTTCTTCTCTTCCTTTTTTTTCTCTTGTTTCTTCCCTTTTCAGCATTTTGGAATTCTTTCAGAAAATTGTTATACTTTGATTGCTGTAAAACAGGTGATGAATCGGTAGAATCTATAATAGCTTCCAAGGAATCACCGTTATTCCTATTTTTTTGATTTCTTAAAAACTTCTTAGTGTAATGAAAACCCAGTTTTTTACTTGCCTTTAAGTTAGTTCCCATTAGAAATCATGATCCAATTGCTCCACCAGCATTGATCCAAGAGCCTCTTGAAACCTATTTTCAATGAGTGATTCTTTTTAACCCACTTGTTGAGGACCTCATCAACCCACCCCTGTGACTTGAAGGCCTATTTAGGTGTTTCAAAGTTAATATAAAACTTTAAACCTGATAGAAATGAGCCTGTGAAAAATCATTTCAAAGAAGCATCTAATATGCTAGAGCTATAGAATTGCATCCCATCAGTTTGATCAGCAGCTTTTAAATTAGGCAAAGGGTCCTTTCTCTAATTCTTTAAGGCATGCTTCTTACCTGTGATACTGATTAACGTGGTCAAACCTCCAACTTAATCCTATTTGCTCAAAGTTATATAGATTCTTATTCTCTAGGGATTGGGAGGAGCATTGGGGTGGTAAGTGGTTTAGTTTCAAAGGCATTACCTAGATTGGAATGGGGTTCCATTCCATTCAGATTTGAAAACATGTGGTTAGGCTATCTGGGTTTTCTTCAAAAAGTAGAAGAGTGGTGGATAGAGGAAAGACCTAGTGTTAACTGGAAAGGAATGGAATTAAAAAAGGCAATTTAAGGGCTGAAAATAAAAATCAAAGAATGGAATGAATTACATTTTGGGAGATTAAAAGAGAGCAAACAAGAGGTATATGATCAAATTGAAGAGTTGGCAATAAGGAGGTGCAAGGATTATTTGAGGAAAGAGACAGAGAGCTTAGATGGTCCTTAAAGAAAAAATTTGAGGATATCTTATTGAGAGAGGAAATCAACCGGAGGAAGAAATCGGGGAATAGATGGCTCAAAGAGGGAGATAGAAAACAAAGTTCTTTCATGCGGAGGCCAATGGAAGAAGAAGGAAGAATTTTGTGTCCAAATTGGAGATATATTATTGCTCACCAGCCAGGAAGCCAAACAACCTATTCTTTTCCACATATTTTCTATATTGCTGACCATTCTCAGGGTGCTTCCATTCTACAGCCTCCAAATGATCAATTTCTTCCCAAAGAGATTGTAAAGAGAAGTACATAGCCACTGTCCTCTCCCCCTGACGCATACTACAAGCCTCTCTTTGGAGTTGGTAAACTCTAACAGTGTTTTTAACCTGGGAATAGGTGCCACCTCTCCAAACAGCAAATACATAAACTACAACAGAGATTACATGATGTTAATGTTAAACAAGAGTTACAGTTGCGCCCAGAACAATGCTTCCCTATTTGTCCCTTGGTTTGCCAAGACATCGGCAAATGCATTAGCTGATTTCCCAACCCACTGTACTGTTATAGACATATTTCTTGTAAGTCATTTGAATTTCTTTAACTCATTTTTGTAGCCCCAAGTGACATCCTCCAGATTATTTAACCAATCCACCACTGTCTTAGAATCCCCTTTCAATCAGAAGCTGCTCCACGCCCACTTCTTTTGCAAGAAGTATTCCTTGTATTGCAGCTAACAGCTATGCCCAGATAGAGTTCCCAACACCTAATGGGCCAGAGTAGAGTAAGACAACCTCTCCAGCCTCATTCCTCAGTACACCTCCCATCCCAGAGGGACCCGGGTTACCCTGGCTACTCCCATCAAAATTCAGCTTCAAAGAACCAAGAGGAGGGGGACTCAGTCAATACCCTTACATTGGAGGAGGAACAGCTTGCTACTAATAACCAGTCCTTTCACAATCAGTAAAACAGAAATGGTTACACAATTCTAGGGTCTTCAACCAATGCATTGACCTGTACATAATTCAGTCCTTTAAGGCTTGATTGCTTCTTCCCTTTTCCTGGAAGATCCTAGCATTCCTTTCTTCCCAAACTGTCCATAACAATGCTGCTCACGCGCACCTCCACATTTTCCTTCATCTTTTATGGGGCCAAGAGAAAATAGAAGGGTTAAAGATTGTGCTTGCTTCTGTTGGCATAACCCAACTACACCCAAACAAATATAAAAGCCAAACCCAGAGCTCTACAGTTACACTACATGATAAAAATAGGTGATTACAACCTCACCATGAGATCTGCAAAGAATGGACCAGTTTGGTGAAATACAAAGGATGGGTCATCTTAAGTTATCCATCATGTTTACCATGCCACACTTCCCAATACAAAGCCATAACCTTGGGGGGATTGGCCTACACCAGACTTCTTTGGAAGGAAAGCTTTGTTGAGAGGATGTTTGGCAAAGGAAATTGAAAAAGGAGCCAGAAGAAAAAGACCCATTGGGGTGAATGGCCCAAATCCTCTTATCAGGCTTCAAAGGATCCAACCAAACCTTATCAAGGAGACAAAGAAGATTAGACAAACACTCAACTTCCTCATCCCTTAATCCTCTACGAAAACCCAAGTCTCAAGACAACGCTGACCAATTTAAAACCGACAGAAGGAATTTTTAGAACACCTCTTTTTTATACAAAGAAATAGAGTACAAGGATGGAAAAAGGTCTTTTAGAGGGAGATCTCCAGCCCACATGTCCTCCCAAAACCGAATAGAATTACCAGAACAGGCATCATACTTGACACAACTGAGGAACTACAGAAGAATTTTGTGAATTGCTTTCCATGGTGTAGCTACCAATTTTTGAATGAGGAAATATTTTTTTCCCAATTTGGTTATTTCTTTTTACAATGACTATATTCAAAACCACTCTCCTTAATAGGAATAAAGGGTAAGGCATTCCCATCTCTTTTGTCTTCCTCTCCTCTTTATTAATCTCCCAGTAAGGATGCCTTTTCTCTGTTAAATCTTATCCCATCTGCTATTCTAGCTTTGGCTTACATTCCATCTTTTGAAACTACAAGGTCTTGGATTGCGGATGCTTACATTCCACCCCTCTTCAATGATATAAGAAAAGAACAAGTGCAAGAGACCCAGTAATATCCACCATAATCCTCCATTAATCGATTGCAGATGCTTGGACTGCTACACCAATTACCAGTTCATGTGGAACTCGTTGCGCAACAGGGAACTATTTAAGATGTAGAAGATGGAAACATAGACAAACAAGTCTAAATACCCAATCATATAATGTAAAACTCTAGAATCAATCATCCAGAGTGTAGATTTGAGATATAGAGATGAGACAAGCTGTACCTAGTTTAGTAGGTATGGCAATAGTACATGAAGAAGAAAACTGATGAAGTTTCTCATATGGTTTAAAATGTCCCCAATTTTCCTAATATTTCCACAACATATTTCCATTTCCATGGGTAGCAACACGAAATTTTACTAGAATCGACATTTCCTCAATGAACACTACAAGCACTTTGTTAGAGTACAACAGATGGTTTACACAACATATTTCCATTTCCACTTCCATGGGTAGCAACATGAAATTTTACTGGAACCGACATATTCCCCAATGAACATTACCAGTACTATGTGGAGTCTAAGAAATGGTATTATAACACAAGTTGGTGAAAATATTGTAGATATGTGAAATAACAATGTTATTGTCCACCTAACTTACATGGTTACCACTTTGAGCTAGTTCAATGTTCATTTCAAACATGAAGTTAAATATTAGTTTTTAGTTTTGTGTAATAGATTATTTGGTTGATCTCTTACAACCATTTACATTTTCTATGAGTTAAAATTTTGCTTTAACTCATTATATCATGAAGCATTGAATCGTATGATTTACTGGTTAACTTCAGAGTGTATTCTTTTGTCTATAACCTTAGTTTCTTAGCTTTGTTTAATGATTTTGATGAAGATAATAATTTAAAAAGGTGTGACTATGCTTCTTTTATCATTTCATAAAATATAATTCTATATTTGCATATTTTACAATGTTTCCACCATGTCTATAATTTTTATAATATTTCCATATGATATTTCCGACATGTTTCCTATATTTGGATGGCCAGCATTTCCACCAACATCGACATTATAAACCTTGCTCATACTCACAGGTGAGAGAAATGAGCTCCTTGCTCTTATTAGCTCCTAAAGTAGATATCTCAGTTGCAGGGGTAATATCACCAAAGTCATCTCCAACTACAGTGTGATTGGACCAAGTAGATAGTGGGTGATATAAGTCATAGCGAAAATTAGCCATATGTCCTTCACAGCCTCAATTTGAACACTAACGAGCTTGTCCACCACCATTGCTCCACCAGCCCTCATACTACCTCCATCTCTACAACTACCATGACCACCTCTGAACCCATGACTAATACCCCTAGAGACTCCTCTACCTTATATACTTCTACCTCCACCTAGTCCATGGGCAATTGTCAAGGCTAGTGGCAAAACCAGGAATTTCCTCATGTGGGGCCACGAGATAAGGGAGAATGAAGATCAGGCAAAATTTTCTGTAGTGCACCTGTGGGAAGTATTGTTCATATCAAATCCAACCCAAAAAATTCTTTTTGAAGCTTCCCTTAAAGATTGGGTTGAAAAATATGAACCCTATTTAACTTTGAGCAAGGCTAAAATCGAGGTATTGTCCAATCCGACCCTATAAAAAATAAATAATTTGTTCCAATTCTAATGCAGGAGAATGTGTCAGAGACCGATGGAAGATCACTCTACCCAAAATTCAGGCTTGAACAGGCTCAAACTCTGATTTCAATCCAAACAAAAATCTACACATTCAATTCATTCCTGAATTGAAATCAGTAGTAAGGGGCTGATACACATTCAATTCATTCCTGAAGCTCTTTAAGGCTGTATAATACTCCACACTCTGTAGGATAGAAAAAAAAAAAATCCTGATGCAACTGATATATTCATGTAACATTATCTTGCCCTAAATGCAGCTGTCTAGCATGCTCCAAAATCTCCTTTGCAGTATCCAAGAACATAAGTTTAACACCGATATGATTTTCCATGCTATTCTACAGAGTTCATAATCTATGCATTGTCCTGCACCCATTTATAATACCCATTAGACCCAACCTTTGGTTTATCCTCTGTAATGTACTGCAGTTGTCCTCGTCCAATCAAAGAAATTTCAGCCAACTTGCTCCATGGTATATAATTAGTACCATTAAGTTTAACCGTGGTCAACTGGGCATTCATTAGGTCTGGTTCAATATAGCAGACTTAGAGCCTCTTATAGATGCAGCCATCACATAACCCTACTTCAGCTACTGAATAGAAATCAACTACTCAGAAAATTTGTCACTTCACTATACATTCATTGTTGGACAGCCACTACACTTTTCAGCACTGAAAAACCTCAAATAACTGGTTTACCACTCACCCAATCAACTGCCACTTTTACAACCACATAACTAAGGTTCAGCCACACCACAACACAACAGCTACTCAACACAACTAATGGAGAAACACTACAATCACTTCACCATGAAGAACCAGTCTGTCTTTGAACTGCTAACTAGAGAGCCTTGGAAACTAACCAATGAATTGAGAGAGCTTGCTACTGGAGGCATGAAAGGCTCCTTCTCTAAGGTCCTTTTGCATCTCTTTTATCCCTCTCAATGGATTGAGAGAGCTTGCAATAGGAGCAAATGGCATCAAAGACCAACCAGTCCATTTGTTGGTGCTCTGATACCATGTAATTAGACTTGGAGAGCTAATAGATCTACAAAATAAGAGAAAAGCAAGAAGAAAAGGTTCAGATGGGAGAAAAAAGGAGAAAAAGAGGAGGGAAAGGAAGAGTGGAAAGAAAAAAGGGTTTTTAGCTAAGAGAGGTTCAATCATCTCCCTGGGTATCGACCCATCTTTTATATAACTAAAGAGAATTACACTTATGCCCCTGTTTAAGTAACACTTAACAAGAAAGACCAAGGAGAATAATAAAGAGAGGTAAAGGATATTCTAAATAGACTTTCAAGAATAATGTATTTAAATGGTTGATGATATACTCTAAAAGAATAGAATGGATATGTTCTCAATTACCTTCTTTTTCTTTTCCTTTTTTCTTTAATCTGTGAACTGATAATATATTCTATATCTACATTATGTTTGTTCACTAAAATTAACTGAATTTCTTATTTGCTTTTATTGCAGATGCCCCTGACAATTTGCCATGCCCTTTTCTGTTGTACCTTCAAATCCTTTTTTATTTGAATAATGATCGACTAAGCTACTTTTTTGTTTTCAACGGGCCCAACGAACCTTGTGTTCTTCCAGTCATCCAAAAGCTTGACTAGCAAGATACAGATTTGTGGCTTAAAGCAGCCCATCAATGCCCCTTGTCAATCGCCTTTAATTATTAATTGCCATCTGGAAATTCAAACACATGAAGCGAGGGACCAGATGATAGACTTTTCATCGACGTTGCTTTTTGATGTTCTATTGTTTTCATTTGTTCAATAGATTAGCATTATATCATACCATATTACAAATCTTGTTACCTTAAAGATTGTCCTTCTGTATGGATATAAATATCAAGCTAGATTTGGTATCTGTACATCAGAATGTATGATCAGTTGATGTACATCATCAAGCAATCAATGTTGGAAGATTCTGGTAAAGCACCCAATGGACTTGTTTAACATACTTCCATCTTCCCCAATCCTTCTTTCTGTTGCCTTGTTTATTCACGTCCAATTTTGACAATCTTCTTTCAAATATTTCAGAAACTCGTTGCCAAAATTGTTTTACTATTGGGTTAACATTAACAGGCCAAGGGTGTAAAGCAAAGGTCAAAATACGGATACGCTCAATACCTAAACTTTAGTCTGGGTGTGTATCAATTCTCTCATCTTTTTGGGTAAATTATAGATTATTACCTTTTACTGGCAATTACCCCTTGAACTCTCAGATTCCAATGAAGACCCCGTCAGTTAACTTTGAAGAAGATTCTCGTGTGATTGTTTAAACCTTTTTAAATCCCCAAACTACCCTTTTGGGTAAATTATAGATTATTACGTCGAGTAGTGGCAATTACCCCTTGAACTCTAGAAGATTCTCGTGTGATTGTTTAAACTTTTTTATATCCCCAAACTATCTTTTTCTTCAGCAATTTTTTTTTAGTATTTTCTCAATTTCCACTCTTGATTTTTTAGTTAGGCTCCGTTTGGTTTGTGGGATTGGGATGAGAAAAAGAGAATATTTCAAAAATATTTCCTTCTCATATTTGTTTTGAGGGAAAGAGGGGATGAGGTGAGAAAAAGGTGAGATGTGAGATCTCAAAATTGAGGATTCGGGGTCACACCAAAATAGTGTGACCTCGGTGGGAAAACTCAAAAAAATCATTCGAAGGGAGTCTTCTTCTTCTTCTTCAACTGGAGTAAGGCGATGAACATCCTTGCCATGGACTAGCAGTGATGGCAAATAGCAACGAACCAGCGATAAAGAGTCTCCTTACCACGGACCAGCGGCGATGGCGAACGGCGAATATTAAACATTCCCCTTCCTTTTGACAACGGTAACGAACCAAATACTGTTCATTGCTTTCCCTATTCGAACAGAGGAGGCGGCGGACCGGCGGTGGCACAATCCTTCATTGTTTTCTTCATCGTGCGATGGCAATGAACTAGATCTGTTTCTTTCTCTAATCGTCATTTTCTTCACCCCTTTGCATTTCCCTCTTTCTCTGATTGTCGTTGCAACTCTCAACAGCAGCACTCTCATATCTTTTGGCAGTGGCAATCTATCTTAGGTTCCGGTGGTGGCACTCCCATGTTGATTAAGCATCGGTGGAGGAGGGGGGACTATCGGTGCTGGAGGACCTCTTTGGAGCTTTAGTCATGGAGTTCTCTGTCTCTCCCTCCATCTTCCTCTTCTCTCTTCTCCTTCACCTTCTTCTCTCTTCTCCCTCATAAGAGTGTTTTCCTAATATTTTCCCATATATAAAACCAAACAATGGAAGTGTAAATTTTTACACTTTCCCATCCCATCTTTTTCCATCCCACCCAAATATTTCCACAAACCAAACGGAGTCCTACAATGGGTATTTTGGTAAACTAACTTCTTCCATCACTCAGTTTGGGAATCTGAAAGTTTAGGGAGGGTTTATCGTAAGTGAAAGTTCAGGGGGTAATTTGTCACTACCCCTAAAGTACAGGGTATTAATCTGTAATTTACTCATTTAATTTAAAAAATTAGAGGATGCTTAATGCTTTATCTTGTCCCAAAGTTTTAAAACTCCCCAATCATATACCCAATATTATCCTTCACTAAAAGACACCTAGCAATGAAGCCATATATGCGGTTAAATGGAAAAAATGGGATGATTATTGATCAGGCTAACCAATACAATCCGTTGCATAGACTCTTAGTTGCTATGACATTTTTTATGAATCTCTTAATTTCTTAAACATAAAAGTTTTCCTTTGCTTGCCTCAGAATTTGGGTCTACAAGCGCATTTATGATTATTTTACAAATTTTATTTTTATGTATTTTAATTATAGCCATCATATGAAAGAATTTGTTGTTTTTATCTCTAAATTTGAGCTAATCACCACTTAAAAGACCTTTTAGAGGTGATGTTGAACTTTGGGTTTGGAGAAACTTGGTGCAAATGGGGGAGGATCACTTTGATAAGGTCTACTCTTGTCAACCTTCCTGTCTATTTCTTATCAGTTTTTAAGATTCTGACTAAGGTGGCCAAGAAGAATCATGGGGTCAGATGGGATGTAGTATGTGGATGTAAGAAGGATGGGGGTTTGGGGATTGTGAATATAAGGGTTAGGAACATAGCACTATTGGGGAAATGGCTGTAGAGATTCTCATTGGAGAAAGAAAGACGGTGGATTAAGATAGTGGGAAGTATACATGGGCTACCAGGCAATGGATGGGACTCTAGGATCTTAGCAAGGACTACAAGCGCTTCTCCTTGGAAAGTTATTCAAGCCATCTTGCCCTTGTTCTATCCATGGGTTAGGTATGAGTTACACTCAGGTAACCTCATTAAATTCTGGGAACATGTGTGGGTTGGGAACTCCTCTTTGAAAGATCAATTTCCAGGCCTCTTTGCTATCTCTACCCTTAAAAATGAGTCAATTTCCTCCTTTCTTGTTCATTCTAATTCACCCTCTAGGTTCGGTTGGAATTTGAACTTGAGAAGAGATATCAATGACATAGAGTTAGCATGCATTTCAGACTTATTATCCATTCTTGAAGGGGTCTTCATTGAGCCCTCGAAGTGAGATAGTAGAATCTGGACACTCACTTCCTCTAGTTCCTATTCCTGCGCCTCTTTCTTCAAGGCCCTCTTATCCCCCTCTCCTGTTGGACTATATTTTCTTGTTAAAAAAGTGTGGTGTCGACCTGTTCCTCCAAAGGTTGGGTGCTTCTGTTGGGAAGCCTTTCTGGAAAGAGTTAATATAGGGGATCTACTTCAAAGAAAAAGCCCAATAGTTGTATGCCTCCTCACTGGTGTGTTCTTTGTAAATCTAATGGTGAGTTTGGATAACTTATTAATTTCTTGTCAGTTTGTTAAAGTCATTTGGGAATGATTTAGATCTTTGTTTGGTTGCAGGTGGACTCCCCCTTCGGATATGCAAAGCTTACTTACTTCCATGCCCAACTGGTCAATCAAAAGGGCCAAGATCATGTGGAGATGTGGTAGAGCTACAGTGTGCTGGACTATCTGGGAGGAGAGAAATTTAAGGGTATTTTCTAATAAGGAGAGAAACTTGGAAGTAATCCTGAAAACTATCTACATTAGGGTGATTCACTGGTTAAAAACCTTGGAGTTGTTTGTAGTGTTCTTAGTTGATGAGATGGCCAGAAAGTGGAAGGAGATTGCGGAGTTAGGCTCAATCAAGAAGACCTCAAATTCCTACTAGACACCTCTGCCTCAGAGGTTTACCAAATTGAATTTTGATGGCAACAGCATGGGTAATCCAGGGCCCTCCAGAGTTTGGGGAGTCATACGGGATGAAAATGGGAACCTGTTAGCTATGTACTCTGGCCCAATTGGGGTGGGATATTCCTTGAGGGTTGAGATCCTAGGAGCTCTTGAAGGGATTCAAAGGGCCAAGGAAATGAATTATAAAAAACTGATCATAGAAGGTGATTTAGAAATTGTAGTAAATTGGCTAAAAGAGGACAGTTCTTCGCTCTGAAAATACAACAATGAAAAGAGAAAATTCAAGTGGCTCACCAAGGATATTGAAATCCGTTGTACATGGAGACGAGAAGCGCTAATGCACTGACAAATGGTCTACCTAGGCAAGGGGTGAACAAAAGCTCAATGTTTTGGGCTGTTTTGTAATTGTTTCATGAATTCTAGTTTATAGGGTATTTGGGAGTTTAGATTTTTTAGCTCCTTCTTTGTAATTCAGCTTTTCCATCTTATTAATAAAATTCACTGTTATTGATAAAAAAAAAATCACCACTTAAAGGACCTCTTATCCCTTTATGGAGTCTCTTTCTCTATAATCCACCTTTTACCGTTTGGGTTATCCATGGTTTTTCTTTGGTTGACTCCTTTTCATTAATGAGGTCCTTTAAGTGGCATTTGTATATTTCCAAACATGGATTTATTCCATTCCTTGCTAATACAAATATTTGGCATTTTTTGATAAGGATAAACTGCTGAAACCTCCCCTGAAGTTTGGTAATTGCAATTACTCCCCTCTATTTTCTAACATAGTTGGAAGTATATTCCCTTTGTTAAAATCCTTTAAGAAGAGGCATGAAAATGTCCAAAATATCCATATGATTATTTTTGACCAAAATGTTTATTTTCTAAATTTTCTCTTCATTTGAATTGCTACCCCAAACGGTCAAACCCTTCCAATCTCTTTTCTGAAATTGATTTATAAACAAATTTTTGCCCTTCATATCAACCACTCAAAGGTAAAGTTGTAACTTTAAATTTCTTTTACCAAATGATGGTGGCTCAGTTGGTAGAATCTTTGATTCATTGTAGTAGAGACCTAGGATCAATCCTTTTTCCACTGGGGTTGGAGTTTTAAAGGGATGGGGATGAGCCATCCCCAATTGGGTAGCCCCATGAAGTAAACAAAATTAAAAACTTTAAATTCTTTTTTTTTTTGTCCATAGAGTTTATATTGTTTTTTTTTCTTTTCTATAGAAACTAACTTCAATAGTAAGTTCATGGGAATTTTAGACATTTTCATGCCTCTTGCTAGAAAATTCTAACAAAGGAAATTGACTTACACTGTATTAAAAAGTTCAAGAGAGATGATTACAATTACCAAACTTCAAAGGAGATTTCAGCAATAGTCAGAAACATCAGACGAGGTTTCAAAATTTTACCCTTTTGATAATTTTAACCTTGAAAACACATTGATTAATAAGAATATTAAAGGAACCCCATAAGGCCTAGCTCAAGTTGCCTAAACTGTTTGTGTTCGGAATGCGTTTTACGAGTTCCCCCACATGTCTGATATTATGACAGGGCATAAATGAAAGCGCAAATTCATCAACCATGAGCTAGAGTCAAAGTTGAGTTTTCTAACAATGCATTAACTCTAGTTTCAAGAAAGTATGAAATTGACAAGTTTTTGTTTTCCCAGATCCATGAGATGTTGCAAAAATTGGTTGGGTCTTCCGCCATCCTACCTCACCAAGCATATGTCCCTCCT